GTCCAGGTTCCCAGGTGCCAGCTGAGGGCCAGCCTTGCAGGCAGGACTTTCTAAGGGTGAGGACTCTCAGGCCTGCTCGGTTGACACTTGCTGCACAGTCATGCCAGTGGGACCCTGTGCAGTGGGGTGAAAGCATCCCGTGGTACTGGTATTGCTTCTGCCCTTGCGGGGACCTGGACCAGTGGGTCAGGTAAATCCTGTTAACCATAGAAATCTTAGCTGGGGGCTTCTTCCTCAGATTCCTGTATTCTCTTTTGTTTTTCTGTATTCTTTCTCACCTGACCTCAGGTGTTAATTCCTGCACAGCACAGCTTGGGCCAGGAGGTCGCAGCCGACCTGAGTGTCTTCCAGGGAAAAGATGGCGTCCTGATGGGGTACACCTGCGAGAAGTGGAATCCCAGAGGGCGCGGGTGGTGCCCTGGAGACATGGAGCTTACCCTTGTTGGGACCCCAGCAGGACATGCATTAGTCAGACAGCCTGGCTAACAGGGCCCCCACGGGGGCCTCCCGCCTCAGAGTTCTCCGTGCCACCAAGTAGTTCAGTCCCATCCTTGTGTCAGAGGGACTGCCTGGGGCGGGCAGTTTCAGTTTTGTTATCCATGACTCTGGTTTGTCCACCTCACCAGTGTGGAGGCCATCTGGAGGCCATCTGGGTGGAAAGTAACCGTTCCAATGAGCAGCGTGACTTCAGAGGGTCCCATCGGAGGACAAGGCCTTCCTCGTGGGCCAGCAGCCTCTGGGAGGTTTTCTAGTTTAGGGCCTCACAGAGGAGTGTTGTAAATCTGCAGTACCTCAGAGAGACTGCGGGTTCAGTTCCTGACTGCCGCAATACAGCGAATATCAAGATAAGGCAAGTCACACGAATGTTTTGGTTTCCCAGTGCATATAAAAGTTATGTTTACACCATATTGTAGTCTATTAAATGTGCAATAGCATTATCTCTAAAAAACAATGTACACACCTTAGTTAAAAAATACTTTATTGCTACAAAATGCTAACCGTCATCTGAGCCTTCAGTGAGTTGTAATCTTTTTGCTGGTGGAGGGTCTCGTAGGAAACGCAGTATCGGCGAAGTGCAATAAAATGGGGTCTGCCTGTATTCCCAGAGTCGGAGTCCTGTTTGTGGAGCTCATACCTGCTCAGGTCGGCACAGCGCAGACTGAGGCTGGAACAGCCCACCAAGGATACTGTCATTTTGAGCTTACAGTCGGGTTCAGGTAGTTAGGATCTGTGAATTCAGAATTCCAGAAGACGCTGGGGGCTTTTCTTAACAGCAGCAGAGCTGAGGCACTGCGAGGTCAGACACCTGTGTTCCAGCTGTCCTAAGCCTTTTCTGTCTTGTCTGCCTTAGGGTCCAGGTTGACCCACTGCTGGACAGCCACTGGCCCCTCAAGGTCATCAGAAATAGGTTTTCCTAAGAGCTCTTGAGTACACTGAAAACTTCTACTTAAAGTTCCTAAAGTATATCTCCACTTAGAGATTGCCTGTCTTTCCATTTTGTTTCCTTCTTTTTTTGAACCTCCAGTAGGTAAAATTCATAGTAAAAAGTCATCAGTTGTGGAGACATAATCTTGTTTCTAATACTTAAGAGTTTAAATTCCAGCCCATGTGCCATTGGCCAAAAGCCAGGGAGGTTGTGTCTCATGAACATTCTTCTTTGTACTGATGGCGATGATCCCTCTAGCATTTATCAGATTACACGCATATACCATTTTGCATCGATTTTTGTCATACATGATGGTGCACCAGCCACGAAACAAAACCACTTTAAGTAAAAAATCCCTTCCCCTTTTTTTCTCATTGCGAAATCACTCAAACCCTGCATTCGTTTCCTGGGGCTGCCATAACAAATTACCACTATGTGAGTGGCTTGAAGATGTATCCTCTCACAGTTCTGGCGGCTAGAAGTCCGGACTCAAGCTGCTGGCAGAGTCACGCTCCCTCGGGGCCTTCCAGGGTTCTGGGGTCCTTCCTTGTCTCTCACGGCTTCTGGTAGCCCCAGGCTTTCCTTTGCTTGGGGCAGCCTAATTCCAGTCTCTGCGTCCATCTTCCTGTGGCCATCTTCCCTGTGTGTCTGTCTCCACATGGCATTTCCTCCTGTAAGGACACCAGGCATACTGGATTGGGGCCCATCCTAGTGACCTCATGTTAACTTGATTACATCTGCAAAGACCCTGTTTCCAAGAAAGGTCACATTCATAGGTTGTAGGGTTAGGGTTTCAATATATCTTTTTAGAGGACACAGTTCAACGCATAACAAGCCCTGGTAGTAAATTCAGCATTTACAGGATCACATTGCGGCTGCGGGGGGAGAGTGGAGCTGGAGTGCAGGGTGGCCAGGAGGCTGCGGCAGCCCCAGCAGCAGCGAGGTTGAAGAATGGCTGGGGCATCCCTGCCCCCTTCCTTTTTATTTATCTAAAATGTACTCCAGCCCTGGGAACTGATTGAAGTTTTTTTGTTTTTTTTTTCCTCCTGATACAATGCAAACTTTTCACATTTTTTAGCCATCCAAAGCTCACTTTTGGGAACTTGGGGCCCTTTCTCCTCCTCCGTGGAGGATAAGACAGCAATCAAAGGTGTCACCAGGGCTGTGCTTTGGTTTTCTTCTCTACTCAGCCAGCATGGCTGTAAGCAGCCAGTCTGTCCAGCGAGCCAGCCCTCCTGGGAGCTGGGTCTCTCCTTTTCACCTGGACCAACGGCAGCTCAGCCCTCCTTTCCTACCGAGGATGGCTCCACAGGCACCGAAGCTTCACCATCCCCTCCGCCTTCATCCTTCCTCTTCTCAGACACTGCTTTTGCCCTATTTCAGTGAGTCTGGGTCCTTCCAGCAAATCCCACCTCTAACGTGTCTGGTGTCGCCAGGACTACCGCCAGGTCCTGCTGGTGGGATTCACAAGACTCAGCATGTAGTTGTTCTCAACGACTGTGACTTGTTAGAGCAAGATCAGCAGAGGGAAAAGGTGCTTGGGGAGAAGTCTGAAGGAAAGCAGGTGCAAGCTTTCCAGGAGTCCTCTCCCAGGGGAGTCGCACAGGACGCACCTGGTACTCCAGCAGTGAGTTGTGACAACACATGAGATACTGTCTACCAGGGAAGCTCATCAGAGATGCAGTGCCCGGGATTTTTATTGACAGTGGATCCTGTGAGCATTCTCTGCCTAGCACGTACCAGAACTCCAGGTTCCTGGAAGGAGAGCAGGTGTTCAGTGTTGACAGTGTTGTCTGCACAGTCAGTTTAGACAGTCATGTCAATTAGGGTGGTTGTGAAACCTCCCGGAATCCAAGTTTCCAGACACCGGCCTGGGCCAGCCTTGCCAGAGGTCGTTTCTAAGGAGAAAGTTAAGGCCTGCAGTGTCAGCTCTTTTCCTGCCCACTCGGGAAGGGGACTTTATTAGAGGAAACACTACAGATAACTGTACCAACAGCAATTCAGCTGACTTGGGGCGCTCCCGTTGTTCTCTTACTAATAATAGGGTTATTCCTATTCTGCTGCTACCTTGTTGAATACATAAATGTTGGCATCAGAATTGGGGAATAAGAGTATTTTCTCTATCCCCTTCTCATCGATGTCAGTGGGTTGATGATCTTATTTGAAAAACTAGGGTTTAAGGGAGGCATGCAGATCAGTGGTTCCTGTGCTTAGGGGTTGGCCTGACGTGTTCATGTGCCCACCAGGGGAGGGACAGGGCAATGAGAGAAGTGGAGAAGGCAGCCCCCAGGATGATTCGTGGGGAATCACTTTCTCCTGGAATTTGAGATGGGGGAGTGTCTCGTTTGTAGGAAGGCACTGCCGAATCCTTTACATATCTTATAATCGAGGGCAAGTTCACCATTGGAAGTTGTTGACTTCAGTTAACTCCTCGGCAAAGTGGGACTCTGAACTTTATCCTCAAATTCAGCAAGAGTACTCTTATGGCTCTGGTGGAAGGAGCCATTTTGGCATCATATAACCTGTGTGTGTGTGAGTGTGTGAACTCAGAATTGCTGGGCAGCAGCACTGAGACTCAAGAGTGTAGGGACTGTGTGGAAGTCTAAGTTCCCATGTCGTCTTCCTCTTTCCTGAGCTCGAACTTCGCAATAACTTCCCATCCTCATGAAAATGCAGAGGGAATGAGTAGAAACTGAGGCTGTGGCAACTGTTATACAAATAAGTTAAAATTAATAATTCTTCAAAAGAAATTTTTCATTCCACCAGTTGGGCCTGTACTGTTTACAGTCTGGAGTTCTTTAAGACAGAACGTTGGCCTTTGCTGCAAGTTGGGTTCCCACAGGCTGTTGGCCTCTCATGTTTGGTGAGGGGAATAGAAGGAAAAGTTTGAAGTCCTTCAATGTGGTTTTTTTTTTGTTTTTTGGGTTTTTCTTTTGCTAAGGAAGATTAGCCCTGTGCTAATATCTGTTGCCAATCTTCCTCTTTTTGCTTGAGGAAGATTCGCCCTGGGCTAACATCTGTGCCAGTCTTCCTCTATTTTGTATGTGGGTTGCCGCCACAGCATGGCCACTGATGAGTGGTGTAGGTCCACGCCTGGGAACTTAACCCAGGTTGCTGAAGCAGAGTGTGCTGAGCTTAACCACTAGGCCACAGGGCCAGCCCCCCTTCAATGTGTTTTTATTCCCTAAAAACCCCATCCAGGTTTGACCTTGTGCTTCCTGTAGGGTTGTGGTGTGCTATAGGAAGGAACTGAAGTAGTTTGTGTCATCAGGGATTGATGGGTCTTAAAATGCAAATATTTGTTTCATTTCTTTGAATTCTCCAATGTGGTCTGAATCCTTTGGACAGAGACGAATAAGACTTGAAGTGGTCACAGTAAAAATGTAGCGATAAATTCAGTGTGTTGGTGGTGCTGTGAAATCTTTGAGGACATGTGTGGACACAGAGTAAGAGGTCTGATGACCGTGTCATAGAAATGTTGGGTGACCACATAATCTTGTCTGAGCTTCCTGTGAATTGAGTCCAGTTGCTCAGTGAGTCTCACCCATCCTCCTGGACATGTTGGCTGTTTCAGGACTTGGTGGTCTTTGAGGATGTGGCTGTGGACTTCACCCCGGAGGAGTGGGCTTTGCTGGATTCCGCTCAGAGGGAGCTCTACAGAGAGGTGATGCTGGAAAACTTCAGAAACCTGGCCTCATTGTGTAAGAACGACTCATTCCTTCACTTAGTCATTTAGAGAACAAGCATTTCTGTACATCAAGCCTGCTCCAAGATTTGGAATGTGGACAGGAAATACATTAATTAATAAGACAGACATGGTCACAATGTCATGGAGCTAGAATCTAATTGGTTCTCCGTAAGAATGAGAATCTATGTATTAAACTTGAGTTTCTTTCTGTAAAGAAAGCTCTTAGTGTCATTGGTTTCATGGGTTATAAAGTGGCCCATTGAAGTTTGTTTATGTAACCTTGTGAGAATTTTACTAGTTCTAAGTGTTTGTTAAACTGCTTACCATTGTGACCCCTTGTGCTTGTTATTGATGAAGTCCTGACAGTTAAAGTCCTCAGTGTCTTTTTTGGCTAACAGGTATCTTCTTTCTTGTAAAATTTGTTCTCTTTTTGCTTTCAGATGATGAGACTCAATTTAAGGCCAATGGGTCAGTTTCTCAGCAGGATATTTATGGAAATAAAATAGCAAAGTTCACCAGAAATGATTCCTGGGCCTCCATCTTAGGAAAAATTTGGGAAGAACTGAGCATCAAAGATCAGCACACAAATCAGGGGAGACATTTGAGGTGAGTTGCACTCACAAGAGAAAGCAGTATTCCAGGAGAGAATCTTAGTTTGTCATGAAATTTAAAAAGCAAATGAACAAAAAACCCACATAAGCCTAGATCAAAATGTTTATTCACAGAGATTTTCACAAAAACATTTTCCTTAAATGTGATGTAGATGTTGAGTGTTAGAAACACAATTCAGTTAAAACAATTAGGAGGAAAGCTCACGTTAAAGAAACACTGTTTTGGGCCAGCCTCGTGGCTTAGCGGTTAAGTGCTTGCACTCCGCTGCTGGCGGCCCGGGTTCGGATCCCGGGCATGCACCGACGCACCGCTTCTTGGACCATGCTGAGGCCGCGTGCCACATACAGCAACTCTAGAAGGATGTGCAGCTGTGACATACAACAATCTACTGGGGCTTTGGGGGGAAAAAATAAATAAATAAAATCTTCAAAAAAAAAAAAAAGAAACACTGTTTTAATAATGGCTATGGTTGAGCTCCCTTCCATAATATTCAGTTCATTCCACTTTAAAACTGAATTTTTACACATTCACTGAAATTGGTGAAAATGTAATCCTAATACTTATTAATAAATATCAATAAATCATTATTAATCAAACCATTGATAACATACTTCTCATTTTTAACAGAAATCATGTGGTGGAGAGACTCTGTGAACATAATGACCAGTGTGGGGAAGGCTTCAGTCAGACGCCAAATCTTAATGTTTACCAGAAAACTCTTATTGGAGCAAAACAGGATGAATGTGCTGCATATGGAAAAGGCTTCGTGCATCATTCATCCCTCGAGAGTCACATCGCCCTTCACACCAGACACAAACCATATCAGTGTCAGGAATGTGGGCACGCCTTCAGTTGTCGTTCCCACCTAAGATCGCATGTGAGAACCCACAATGGAGAGAGACCCTATGCGTGTAAATTATGTGGGAAAACTTTTCCTCGTACGTCTTCTCTCAATCGGCATATAAGGATTCATACTGCTGAGAAGACCTATGAATGTCAGCAATGTGGGAAAGGCTTCATTGACTTTTCAAGTCTTACTAGTCATGTGAGGACTCACACTGGAGAGAAGCCCTATAAATGTAAGGAATGTGGGAAAGCCTTCAGTTATTCCTCAACTTTTCGAAGACACATGATAACGCACACTGGAGAGAAGCCCTATAAATGCAAGGAATGTGGCGAAGCCTTCAGTTATTCCTCAACTTTTCGAAGACATATGATTTCACACACTGGGGAGACACCACATAAATGTAAGGAATGTGGGGAAGCCTTCAGTTATTCCTCAGCTTTTCGGAGGCACATGATAACACACACTGGCGAGAAACCCTATGAATGTAAACAGTGTGGGAAAACTTTCATTTATCTTCAGTCCTTTCGAAGACATGAAAGGATTCACACTGGAGAGAAACCCTACGAATGCAAACAATGTGGGAAAACCTTCATTTATCCGCAGTCCTTTCGAAGACATGAAAGGACTCACGGTGGAGAGAAACCCTATGAGTGTAACCAGTGTGGGAAAGCCTTCAGCCATCACTCGTCCTTCAGAGGACATATGAGAGTGCACACTGGAGAGAAACCTTATGAATGCAATCAATGTGGGAAGACTTTCAACTGGTCCATATCCTTGCGAAAACATATGAGAACACACACTAGAGAGAAACCGTATGAATGTAAACAATGTGGGAAAGCCTTCAATTTGTCAGCTTGCTTTCGAGAACACGTGAGAATGCACCCCGGAGACAAATCATATGAGTGTAAGCTCTGTGGGAAAGGTTTCTATTGCCACATATCCTTGCAAAAACACATGAGGAGGCACACTGCAGAGAAACTCTATGAATGCAAGCAGTGTGGGAAAGCTTTCAGTTGGCCTGAACTTTTGCAACAGCATGTAAGAACCCACACTGCAGAGAAACCCTATGAATGTAAGGAATGTGGGAAAGTCTTTAAATGGCCGTCATCTTTACCAGTACATATGAGAATGCACACTGGAGAGAAACCTTACGAATGCAAGCAATGTGGGAAAGCCTTCAGTTGTTCCTCATCCTTAAGAAGACATGTAAGAATACACACTGCAGAAAAACACTATATATGTAATGCGGGGAATTCTCCTGCAAATGAATTCATGCACAACACTGCAGAAAATTCACATCAGGAGAGAAATCTTACAAAAGTTGTAAATATGGTATTGCCTTTATGAGTATCTCATCATTAAAGTGGACCCTTGGGGAGTTGTGTATTTCCAGTTCTTTTGCAAATAAACATTTAGGTGAAAAATAATTCTCCAAGTATTCTTATAGCTATAGTCTATAAATTTTGCAAGTAGTGTTTTTTCTTTTTACATTTCAGTAAATAAAATCTATCTTTACAGTTTGTTGGACTGGGTGATTTGAAGTATATTTTCAATATGTAAATAGTCTTAATTTCTTAGTTCTTTAAGTTGTTCTTTAAGAGGTTATTGGAACAATGACACTTTACTATTGGTTGGGATTTTCTTACAGGCTTAGTGTGGCAGGTACTGGATATCATCCATATATATTTTTTCTACTTCTTATCAAGAGAGTCTTTATTTATTTTTGGCCAGAGGAGCCTTATTCCATTTTTTTTATAGTTGGTAGAAATTTGTAATTATGCAGAGTTCTTCAAAGTGTATAGTCTCATGTGAATTGTTATTTTCAAGTTTTCCCTATTGCTGTTTGTCCTTGCTGTGATTGGGAGTTGGACAATAGGCTTTTACTTAAGACACACTTGTGATGTGATCATGAGATACAGAGTGTGAGATGGTTCTCTTGGATTGTGTTCAGTCAACATGGGTAATGTTGGGAACTACATTTCCCAGAATCCCTTTATGATTCCGAATTTGAATTTACCAGTAGCCTAACTTGGAATAGATTTGGAAGGCAGAAGTGAAGAAGCCTTTACTAAGTTTTTGGAGCCACATTTGTGTGTGATAGATGCATAGGGGCTTCTTGGACACCAGCTTTCAGCCTATTTTCATGATTCTTGGCCCTTCCAGTCAAGAGTACCATCAAAAGAAATGCCAAATGCTTGATTTCCATTTTTCTGAGAAGCATAGGTTTCCACAAATACCTCCATGAGCTTGGTATCAAGGATCTACTTGTATGGTCAGGCACTCACAATTTGGATTTTTCAACAAACCCTAACGTGTCCTGGAGACCACGAATTCAGACTCCTGGTTAGTGATCTCTGATGCTATGATTCCCCTCTTCTCTAGACGTTAAGATATCTTATAAGGACTGATTTGTATAGCGAACACTTTGTTCTCAGTGCTTCTAGTGGCTCTCTGATCCTGATTCCACCACAAAAACTACAGTGTTGCAGCAAAACAAAACACATGGGACTTTGTTAATCTATTGCATTTTTAAGTCTGCTGATGCAGTCTATGTGAGAAAAAACCCCTTCTTCATGTATTAGATTTTGGGAGATTTCTGTTACTCAGCTGAATGCAGTTCCTTGATATGGGTTTAATTGTTATGTTTGGTTATGTCATTAAAAACAATGTATTTTATTTTCAAGGATAATCTTCTGTAGATATTTCTTAGAAATATCTTATTTACTGTGTTTTCAAAATACCTGTATACTACTAGTTTCCTAGAGCTGCTGTAACAACCACAACTGGGTGGCTTAGGACAACAGAAGTCTTTACCTCACAGTTCTGGAGGCAGAAGTACAAAATGAAGGTGTTGGCAGGATCATGCTTCCTAAAAGTGCTAGAGAAGGATCTGTTCCAACTGTCTCCAAGCTTCTGGTAGTTCATTGGCTTGTGGCAATCATAATTCTAATCTTTATGTGGCATTCTCCCTGTGTGCCTGTCTGTCATTTACATGGCATTCTTTTTATAAGGACACCACACACATTGAGTTAGGGCCCACCCTATTCCAGTATGACGTCATCTTAACTGATTACATCTGCAGCAACCCTATTTCGAAATAAGGTCATTCTGAAGTACTGGGGTTAGAACTTCAACATATGGATTTTTGGGGGACGTAATTCAACTCAACAAATGTTATCTATATTAAAACATTCCATTGCAATTATGGACTTGAAATCAACTAATTTTAGCATTGTACATTCTGAGTCAATATTACACAAGGTATTTTTCTGCATGTAGATTTTATTTTTTATTACATCATTTGTTATTAAATGGATTGCTTATTCATTGTTAATAATAAAAGCTTAAATAACGGTTTTTGTCCATGCTTTCTAGCCAAAACTCACCAAGATCACACTGGTAATCAATGAAAATTGGGTGTATTGAGTTAAAGCAATTTGAATGAACACACGAAGGACTGGGATGTATCGGCGGGTGTTTAAAAGGATACATTTTCAAATTTGGGCTTGTGTTTGGTGATTTTAGAAGGCAGAAAATTGAGTTTAGCTAAAACTGGTTAAAGCAGTAGCAGTCAGTCATATTACTGAGAGAGGGGAATGTTTAATCAGTTCTGTGGTTTAGAGGTGAGCTCCAGAACATAAGGGATCAATCTGAGTAGCATGTAGGAGAACGGATGCATCTGACATCCTCAACAGGAAAGAAATTTAATGTTTTATAGGAAAAGAAGGTGGAAGCTTTTTGTTTCAATGACCCATAAAGCTCCAAAAGCCCATTTTACTTTTCACAGTTAATCAAATCCATCTCTGTAGGCTTCCAGCACTAGCCGGGAAAGGGAAAAAAATGTGACATCTCAGTGTTTTATTAAAGACCAGATGATAGCCAATCTTTCTCCATAGTTCAATGTGATTTGACAATCATTTGTATCTCACTTTATGCCACCCCCTCCAATCATTCCCTCCTGTCATACAGATGAAGACGTTAAGCTCAGGGAGCATAAAGTTGCTCAAACTCATGGGATGTCAGGTTTGAAAGCTTGATCTGTTCTTGATTTTTACTGGAAACTGGGAAATTTGGAACACTGGGAGGCAAGTGTAATTTCTGAATTTTAGAATATGGCATTGAATTTTATAAAAAGATTCCTAAGGCTATATGGCATTCCTTTTATGAGACGTGAAAAAGACAAGGGTATAGGAAAGTAAAACAGATCAGTGGTTAGGGGTGGGGGGTTTTAGGAAAAATGGCCACCTGTGTTCTTTCCTTTGGCAATGGAGTGTTCCTTATCCTGTTGTTGGTATAACTATGCGTTTATAACTCATTGAACTACACTTCAAATAGTGAATTTTACTGCATGTGTATTAAAAACAATAAAAAAAACTGGTTTGCTAAGGGAAAATTTAAATTCCTGAACCTTCAATATTTCCCCCCACCAGCTTGGGATCCTCAAGAAGAAGTGAAGGACTGGGGAAGAAAGACTCCAGACCTTTTTTGGAACCCATTCTGAAGTTAGGAAGCACCCACAGGGCCACATCCGCCCTCACCACACAGACCTGGAGAGAAGTGAAAGGGCTCCTACAATCTGTCTTCCAGTTTAGGCCAGGTTCCTGCAGTCAGATCTTTGGGAAATACCTGGTCTCAAACATAAAGGTGGCCCCCCACGGTTCTCCCCAAGGAGACCCTACCCTTCCTGGGGGGTGTCCTAACCCTTGGGCATCAGTATCGTGACTTTCCAGGACCTGTCTGGAGGCCACCCAGCTCAAAAGTAGCATCCAGCCCAGTCCTGTGCCTTCGTGCAGGGCGACGTCCTTAGGGTTCACACCCCTGCTGGTGGAACACTGTGACGGGCTAGCCCCACCGGGCCGGGAGGTGACAGAGGAGCAGCAGGAGCACACCCCGAGTCACGAGGACACACACCCCGTGCCCACAACAATCCTGCTTCCTCAGGAGCATGCGCTCAGCGCCCCAGCTCAACTGCGCAAGCGTCTCAGACCTCCAGTGACGTCACAAAGGGACCTCCTGCCACGGCCTGCCCGTCGGCGCGCACGCGCGCAGTCCTACTCACTGTCCCTCACCCGCCCCACATTTTCGTTTTCGCACGCTCAGGCCTGAGGATTTAGGCTACACACACGCCAATTCTATCGAACTCCGCACCTCAGCTCCCATCTTCTCCCCACCGCCCACCCGGGTCCTCAGAGGCACCCCACCGCGGCGCATGCGCACCTCTACCGACGCCTGTGCTCTGCGTAGTCTCAGCCCCGGTGGCCTGTGGGAAATGGAGATCTCGGAAGGAGACCCCGCAGACGCTCATAGCCCCGCCCTTCATACTCCTCCCGTCATGCAACGCGCCCGGTTAAGAAACGCGCCCGGAGACACCTGGGATCTCGCCTTCGCGGAAATGCAGAGGCGCATGTGGGCGGGGCGGAGACGTAGAGAAGAGGGTGCACGGGGACGGGGAAGCTAGTCCCTACAGCTCTCCTATCAGCTCTCCGTCCTCCCCTGGGTCATGGAGGAGCGGCCTCTGTGGCGTGCCCCCCCCCCCCCCCCCCGGTCGTCCACCCTCTGGCCTTGGTGAGGACTTTGGGGCCGCCCAAGGCGGGCATAGTGGGGTCTGCGGGCACACGAGACCAGCAGAAGAGAGGGGACCTCGGGGCGGGACACGGTGGCTGCCAGCGGACGAGATCGACACCACTGCTGCCCTCGCTGAGCTTCCAGTGGGAAAGCAAAGTGACAAAGGATCAGAGTAGTGATGAGTGCGTTTCTCAAGAATCCCAAAGCAGCGTGGGGCGGGCTGGAACATCACAACCCAGCCCTGTTGGGCCCCTGACGCTTCTTCCTCAGGCTTCCGTGTTGTGGTTCTCATGGAGAGAGGCTTTTTGTACTGTGCGGGTTCAGGAATTGTCAAGTCCGCGTTCCAGGAGGAGAAATATAAGAAAAATATACGTCTCTGATGTTGGTTAGCTTTAAGTAAAGAGAGCTGTGGGTGGTGAGCAGAGGTATGCAGAGGGTCTGGGCTGTGTGTCTCTGGGATTGTATTAGTTTCTCTGGACGGGTGAAATTCACAAATTCACAAATTCTCTGAATTTGTGTGTGTGTGCCTGAGTGTGTCCACATGTAGTCCCAGTGATGAATATTGTGTGATTTTGTACGTCTGGGAGAGTTCAGGTGGTTGTTGGCTCCTGTGTCCTGGCAGGTGTGTCTCTGATTGTCCGTGTGACTCAATGCGTGGCTGTAGTGTTTCTCTCTCCCTCTCTCTCTCTCCCTCCCTCTCCCTCCCTCCCTCCCTCTCTCTCTCTCTCTCTGTTTTCCCCAGTGTGTGTATTGAAAGGCAAACATACAGTAAGCCCAGATGGATTTAGAAGTGGCTTGTATTTAACTTTTAAGAGGCAAATAATTATTGTAATATTAAATTCTAACAAAATATAAAAAAGAGAAAG